ATCCGTAGAAAAAGAAATGTTTTTTTATTCTATTGATGTGAATAGATTTTCGCAAATAATGTAACACGTTTGTGAAGGATATAACCAAGGCTTTTAAATAAGTTGGTAGACATGATAATCTTGAATCGAATTCTATGTGTTGCGAGATTCTTTGCCAGCATTAATAAATCAGTGAGGTGTTTATCATGAACAGAATATTTCAATTATTATTTACTGTCTCATTTTATGCTGGCTTTGTGCTACCGAATTCGTTCAGTTCTATACCAATTCGGTTTGATTCATTCATAGATTCATTAACTGTGATTTTTATAAACGATTGACACAAAAACATTTTTTCCGCTCGTACAGAGTTTTATTTCGGAGAATATCTGTTATCGGGAGAAAGACCTTCCCGGTTGCCATCAAACATAAACCGGGAAAGAAGACAGGCATCATTGAGAATTGATACTGCTGTTAATCAAATTTTTGTTCTCATTCAATACCGTGCAGTCAGAATGAATTTGTTACAAAACTTGCTTTTTCTTGCTTCAAATATTCAACAGAAGTTCCCACTTTAAACAGATTAAGTGAAACAAGCAATCAAATGTTATGCGTTCATGTTTGATTATGTCATACATGCAGAACACGCTCGACTGTAATCACGTGGCAAAACTATAGTAAAATTCGTGCTAGAACCCCGAAATGACACTGCGTAAAACAGACTATCCATTGTGGTGCATCATTATGTATTTTTTCTCTTGACCTGCTTAGACACGTTAGCCACTCCAAATGAAGAAAATCACGTAATTCCTGACAATTCTCTTTAGTTGACGCAAAGGGCGAAGTAAACAGCACTGTCTCCATGTTCCTCCACGCAAGTGAGTTTGAAATGTTACCACGTTGTGGGACAGGTTTATTAATCACAGTCACTCCACAATTTCACGGGAGTGAAATGTTTTTTTTGGGAAAATTGATAAGGTTGCAGACTAAATGGGTAACGCAAGTCAAGCAAGCATGATCCGGTTTTGTGAAGCAACCAGACAATCAAATGGAAAACGGCAAATGTTTACATCCAATGCAAATAACAATACCAAATTTGGATAAACAAACTTTCGTCCCTCTGTTCATGTTTCTACAGTGTCTCCCTTCCAGCGATGATATCCTTTAGGAAGCTTTATTTCTTATGACCAAAGTAATGTGCTGCTAGGGAAATTCATTGTCTAACTTTGGTTTTTGACCCTAGTTTATCTTTAAATTCCTTACTTTTTACACATTTGTTTAAATACCACCTTTGAAATGTATTACAATTTCATGCTGGGTCTGAAACGTTTTAAATGTTACGTGATTTCTATTTAACCAGTTATCATCTCTAACTGTTGTAATATGATTTTGAATAATTGAAAGTCACTGAAACGACACATGCTAGTAGGGAGTAACTTCCGATTGTTCTAATCGGAAGTGTACTGAAGATATAAAATGTAAATTAGGTAATGTTACATTGAATACCTACTACCCTCAGTTGGAGGCCAAATACACAAAGAACAAAAACTAAATTGAATAA